GTTTTTACATTTTCTATTTTTTCAAAAAGGTAAAAGCCTCTTCACAGGTAAATGCTGTATCAAAATGAGTAAAAACAAAATTCATTCTCTTTTTGATTCGTACCGAAAACTTAGTTAGCTGAATAGAAAAAACTTCCACTTCTTTGAAAAGAGTTTCAAGATTTTCAACTACTTCCGATTCAAAATAATCCATTAAAACTGTCAGAAGTTCAGCGATGTGCACATTTTTAAAAATATTCCACATGTAGAACAAAAATTTTTTAAAACGAATTTTATTGGCCATTTTCACTTTTAAAACAACAAGAACAACTACAATAACTAACAGTTGACAGTGAAAGCAATAGGAAACGAAAAAATGAAACAAAAAAAGGAAAAGTAGAATAAGAATGATACAATTTTTTTAATTACGTTGAATGAAAGTTTTTGCATTAAAAACATTAGCAAATATGGTAATGTGAGTAATTATCGCCATTCTATAAATCCAATCATTAATTTTCTTAATAATTCATTTATTTCTTTATTAATTCATTCATTTATGTATTCATTCATTCTTTCATATTTACATCTGTTCATCAATTCATTTATCCATGCATCTATCTATTCATCAATCAACCATCCATCTAACTCTAACAGACATAACAAATACCTGTTACGCGCCCAGAAAAATCATCACTCACATTTATTTCAAATCGTTAAATAGACAAACTCATAATTGCCTTTTCTGTATGCACGCACATGCACACAAAACTATCAACCAATACAAACACACGCACACAAAAGGATAATCCAACATTAGTACATAAACTCACATACACATATTATAAATTACATACATCTATCATTTAAAGGTTTTTTTAATTGCGTTTATACTGCATAAATCCAAGCGTATACGAACACAAAAACGCACCCAAACGTAATTACATACCTATTTATATACATTAACTCACTTTTATATACTTATATAATATACATAAATATATATATAATATACACACACACATACACACATACATACATACATACATACATACATACATACATACATACATACATACATACATACATACATACATACATACATACATACATACATACATACATACATACATACATACATACATACATACATACATACATACATACATACCTACATACATACATAAAACATACATACATACTTACGTACGTACACATACGTACATATGCACGTAAATACATACCTACATATATACTTATACATTACATACACGGATGAAGATAAGGTTTTAAGTGATGAAAATCATCTGGGATTGAAGCCGAAATCTTTGTGAGTATGTAATTGCATGTGTGTGTGATTGTATGCATGTATGATTGCTTGTGTGTTTGTGTTCGTGTATGATTATATGTCTGATTGCACTTATGACTAGTGTGTGTAATTGCTTGAGTGTATGATTGTGTGTGACTGCATGTGTGTATAACTGTGTGTGACTGCATGAATTTCTTTCAATGTGCTTGTATGCAAATTTGTGTGAATACGCAGTTGAATGTTTGTTATTGTATAATTATGTAGTTGTATGTTTGTGATTGTATGCTTGTAACTGTATGATTTTACAGTTGTATGCAGAAGCATAAGCAAGACTGTAGACTGTGTGGATGAAGTCCCCGCAATGAAAAGCTGCTAGAGTTAAGGCTAAAACTAACAAAATTTTTATAAATTTGTAAAAAATTTGGACAACAAATTATTTTACCCACCAAAACAATAAAATTAAGGTAAATTTTGCATGAAACCAAAAAATTGGGTGATGAGCGGAAAAAAAAGTCACCAAGTTTTTTTTAATTTAAGCCCCCTTCACAACAAATTTTTGGCTACGATTGTGTTTCTAAGTTAATGTTTGTGATTGATTTTGTTCTTGTTTGTATTGTTTGTACACTGTTGATATGTGTAATGTACAATTGTACATGCTTCAGCATTGCATAGTGGACGGTAAGTTCTATTTATTATAATTCTCTCTTCAATGAAGAATAAAGAATGAATGAATGACAGAAATATTGGACGAATAAAAGAATAAATGAACAAACAAATACTTGAAGAAATGAACAAAGAACGAACTTTTATATATTGTAATTTAAGCTGTTTGATTTTTCATTGTTGGGGTGCATGAAGAAGCCTAACTGGGCAACAGAAAATTCATTGTTCGTGAGATTGCGATAAAGAAATCATTTTTTATTGTAGCATGGGTGGTTACCTAATAGGGTTATTAGGGCGCGTGAAAAATCAAAATTAGGAGGGCAAGTAGGGGCTGTTGATAAGAAATTAAATTCTCGAAAAGTTGCTCGTTGTTGGTAGAATATTTTTTGTCAGCAGAGTTCAGTATTCGAAGATTTGCTGATTGGCAGTGTCAAAGAAATAGAGTTTACGAAGAGTTTTCTACAGCAGAGCTTAATTTATGAAATTATTTCCTGGGGTGGTTGAAGAGGTATTTCGCTGAATCTGGCTCATGTGGAAATTTCCTGGAGAGTTCAATTTATGAAGGGTCGTTTTTAGAGAAGTTAAACTAAGTTATTTGATAATTATATTTAATTGAATTTGTTTAATGTGTGTTTTAGATACTGTTCAATGTTTCGTTTATTTAATTAATTTAATTAGTTATGCGCAATATTTATATTTAAACTGACATTAACATTAATAATAACCCTTTATATAGTGTTTTTCTTTTTTAATAAGATTGATATAACGATTGTTCAGAGTGTTGGGGACTTGTTGGTTTTTCTAAGTGAAATAAACTGGAAAGTTAATTTACGTCGTTACAGTGAGTGAGTGGGCAGGCACCGCTGGAAATCATGTCGTGATGATTCGGAGGTATTTGATAAATTAAATATTATTTTACAAGTTTTACAGGATGTATGACAACATGAATGAATAAATAAAGAATAAATAAATGAATGAATGAATGAACGATCGAATGAACGAACGAATGAATGAATGAATGAATGAATGAATGAATGAATGAATGAATGAATGAATGAATGAATGAATGAATGAATGAATGAATGAATGAATGAATGAATGAATGAATGAATGAATGAATGAATGAATGAATGAATGAATGAATGAATGAGTTAATGAATGAATTAATGAATGAATGAATGAATTATTTATTTAATTAATGAATTAATTGATGAATGATTGAGTTAATGAATGAAAAGAAGAAAAACTTAGGCAGTGAATGAAAGATTAAGTGAACCAACGTTAACTGCTTCTCAAAATAATGTAAACAATTTTACACCTCCGAGTCTGAGAATGAAGGATAGTAAAAGCGTGAAGGAAGAATTGAAATGAATTGAATGTTGCAAAGCTTAAACTCAAAATGTTCCTATGAATAACTGAATGATTATACAGGATAAACTTTGAAAAAAAGAAAAACAAATTAAAAAAAATTAAATTTAACTTTGAAAGGATCTCAAAAACAAATCATCGACAAGTTACAAATATCTGCTTGGTGCCTAGGAGTGATGGTACAAAAGGGGGTGATAGCAGGAATGCTGGTAATGATGATGATGATAATGATGATGATGATAATGGCAGTGGTGATGATGGTGGTGGTTGTAATTATCCGATGTTAATATCATCGGTTTTCAAATGAAGCAATCCAAATTCTTTGAATGTGGCTTTAACGACTCATCAATTGTAACAATTAGCATTCAATAAAGCGTGCAATTAGAAGTGATGTATTTCTGTTACTCTCTCTCTCTTTCTCTCTTTCTCTCTCTTTCTCTCTTGCTCTATCTTTTTTTTTATTTTCTCTCTCTCTATATATATACAAAAAAATGGAATGAGTTTGTTGTGGTTTTGTGTTAATCATTTGAAAAGAAAGATTGAATAGTAGCTTATTTGCTTATTTATGGCAGGTTTCATTGACCTTTATGTTAATGGCTCCCATTATATTGAAATGAAATCTTCTTTGCTGTTGGCTTGGTACTAATCAGAGTTTTCGTGTCTGTTACGAGGTTTCCAGTGATTTTTTTCGTGTATCTCTGTACATTTCTTAATGCAAGTGCGCCGTGGTGAGTCTTCATGTCAGTAGTCATTGCGATGTGTTTTTAAGGTGCACCCTTTAATTGAGCCAAAAAACATATATCATTTACAAGCATATATATATACGCTTATATATAAATATATACATATATAAAACATATATCAAAAATTAAAAACTGATTTTCTACAGACCGAGACTAGGCAACAATGAGCACAAACATTCATAATGAACAGAGCCAAAATAATTTCGAAACCTGAAATGCATAAAAAAGTTAAAAAAAACTGTTGAATAAAATTTTGTTTGGAAACCACTGTTTGAAAAGCAGCTTATTTTAATAAGCGTGCCATTATAAACACTGTAACGATGGCATTCTGATCTCTAGGGAGTCGTCAACAATGACATCTCGCATTTAATTTATAAACAAATTTTTGTTAATTGACTGACATTTTAATTTATATTATTCACAATGCTAGACACAAACATACACGGACATACGCAAACAAAAGGATACACAGACGTACAAGCATACGAACTGTTCCTACCAACTTCTAAAGTAAAAAAAGGACCAATGCAAACAACTTTAACTTTTGATCATCATTCCTCTGTGGTTTGAAACGCTATTCGAAATTCTTTGCTGAATTGAGCAATGACATAATTAATAATATATAGCAATATATATATATATATATATATATATATATATATATATATATATATATATATATATATATACATATATTGGTCAGTGTGTGCATCTGTGCTCGGTGTGTATTTGTGTGTATGTATTTGTGGGTGTGTGTATGTGTGTGTGTGTTTTTTAAGTGAATGTATTATACAACGTGCGTGCAATTGATTTATTTATACACCTGTAAGTGTGCGTACCTCTAGGAAAAGTTTTAATGTGAAGAGCTATTTCAAAGTTTAGCAGGATGTGGTATGTAAGTACCATGTAGAAGCTTCGACAATTTACGTAATTGAAAAAAAATATATAAAAGAAATTAAAGCCAGCGCGCTTAGAAGTAATTTAGTACCTTGATGTTTGGCTAACGAGCGCATGCGAGAGCTCGCTTCTTTTTGTGCCACTTTGCAAATAATCAATGAAACTTTCTCTAACTCTGTTGCGTGCGTCACTGCGGGCAGGAAGTGTGGCGTTGCATTCGTTGCTTCAAAAGATTTGTGAGATTCTTCCCAAAGCTTTTTGTTGAGATGAAATTTTTTATATATCGTAAAAGTGAAAGTAAAAGTGTTTTATTAAACGAAGTTGATGATTGCAAAAACTAATTAAATGAGCGTTAATTAATTGTATATTATATATATTATATATTATATTATTGACTAATATTTATAATATTAATATATATATATATATATATATATACATATGCAATACTTGATAAAATCTACCGAATTTTAGCTTTTAATAATTAACAAGCAGCAAAGCATAGCAACATTATTTCCGACTGAAACAATATGATTCAAAGACTTAACAAGCAAAGATAATGAGTAGAACAAAAATACAAGATAAAGCAGAATGAAAGCAATTTGCACAAAGAATTGTGAAACTTTGAAATATTTCTATGAAAGCGCTGATGATGAGTAAAATCGAAATGGGACTTATACGCTTCACCATGAACACCAACGATTTTCGTAATAATTATAAAAAATTGAATAATAATTATAAAATTACTGTTAGAAATATTGAAAAGCACACCCGTAAACATTCAAAAGCTAAAAATTTCGGTAGTATTATGGTCTTCTTCAAGCCTATATATAAATATATATATATATATATATATATATATATATATATATAGCATAATACAGTACTGAATACTGTTTTTTCCAATATATATATACATATATATATAAAGTTATATATAACATATACACACATATATATGTCAATGAATGTGTTGTTGTGTTGATGTCTATATTCGTAATTTGCAATTTCTGAACGTGAACAAAAAAATAATGCTAGCACCTCGGTGTTCCTCTATAAATTTGTCTGTTTAAATTTCTGAATCACGTTTCGTATGACTGAGTATGTCTGAATGTATTTCACGAAAGCGTTTGTTTATACAATTTTTTCTGATAGGCACATACTCAAGAACTCGTACAACAGTACACGCACACTGCAACGTTACATGCAAAACTCTTCATCCAATCAAATTCAAGATACAGAAGTTGCTGAATCCTATTGGCCTTCTCATTAATTTGCAGTAACTTTCTGAAAATTTTGTGCTAATATAACTCCATCATATCCTCATACATGCAGTAAATGTTGTATACAATCACATGCACACACTAACTAATACATATGCGATGATATATGTTGATGTATATATATATATATACATATGTATAAATATATATATACATATATATACATACATATCTATATATACATATTTATATATATATTGCGATAAAAAGTAAAGTAAAGGTTCTTGAACAAAATTTGTTTATAAAGTAATCAAAAAAAGTTGGAAGATAAATTGTAAGCGTGTATCAAGTGACGGATGCCAAACTGATATCTGCTACTCGATCACCGTCAGGCAAGAAGTAGGAAATAAAATCTTATGATTCGGTCAGTTGGAGTTTGGAAATTGAATGGTTTGACGATTTTTGGCTTTAGAAATATTATATTAATAATAATATAGCATGAATTTGTTAATAAATCATTTATGTCGAGCTGTCTATTTTTATGTCAAGCTGTTTTTTAAACGCATAGCACATATTGTGGCCATAGTAACAAGCTAATTTAAACAAACATTTAACTAACAAACATCTATAAAAGACATATATAAACTAACTTACGACATATATATGAACATTTTGTCAAACATACATGGGGAAAGACATGCGTATGAACAAACACATAAATATATATAAAACGAAACATCCATTTGTAAAAGATTCTAAACATTAAAACAACATAAAATTTAACATTTGGCATCAGATTTTTCGTTCATTGCATCATCTTGATCGATTTTTTATAATTGTTTTTGTAAAAAAGGTGTCATTGAATCCTAGATAGTCAATTAATGAACGTTTAGCTACTTTGTAAGAATGGAGAAACATAAAAACTTAATCATAATACAATTATTACGTAGGAATATAACATTTTAACTACCATCAATATTGTTGCTCCTTTGTTACTTTGCAGCTACTTCATTATAACATTAATAGTTATATTTCTATAGTTATATATGTATGTGTTGGGTGTAATGTGTGTGCGTGTGGGTGCTAGAGTTCAACGGTCCTTATGTTCAGGCCCGGAAGTCAGGTGACTTTGAAATTAAAATGTTGATAAATATCTCATTTAACTCCAATAATTCATCTTTCATCATATTGCCTATTTAGTAACTTCAATTTTTTTGATAGTTATATTGCTAATTTTATTTTTAAAATGCCTTTTTTGTGTTAATTTTATAATTGGGATGTCACTTTTATTTTGCCATTTTGCAAATTTAAAGCAACTAAATAAGCCAAAAAATCAGTTGAAATATCCTAATATGGGAAAATATTAATTCAATAATGCTATGCCATCGTGACCGTCATCAGAATTTTAATTGCTTCCATCGCCATCTTTGTCCATCTTATCAAAGTAATTAACGACATTTGTCATAACAGTTATTAAACTATCAGATAACACGTGATTAATTTGATGTAGAGGTTTATTTGCATTTGCAGTCTGTTGTAAATAATAAAGAGAAGACGCCCTTCGACATGATAACCATGTCTCATCTTTTAATAGTCAACCAGATTTCATTGTCAGTGTTTGATTAAATTTAAATAGGGAGCGATTTTTATTTTATCCATAAAAGGCGAGGTGGATGTTCAAATTAAATGATGTTACTATGATGAAATTAACAACATGTGTTCATGTATATTTACCAAAACATTACACTTTAATAATAATTTTATCGTCATTATCATTTTCATCATCAACACTGTCATCATTACTATCGCCACCGTCATCATCATATTATCACTGTCATGTCATGTCATTATCGAGAACCATTCCGAAAATCTTGTCAATTTCATTTATAAGGTATTATTAAAATTATTAATATTATTAATATTATTACTATTATTACTATTACTGATATTATTACTGTGTGTGTGTGTGTGTGTGTGTGTGTGTGTGTGTGTGTGTGTGTGGTGTGTGTTTATGCGTATATATGTTTGTATGTATATACATAATTTAATTGCCGTGAGAAAAATAAAGATATTAATAATAATATTTTGATATCAAATAAATAAATTATATATATATATATATATATATATATAAATTAATACTAATCATACCAAGCAATACAACACACACATCACCGTCGTAATTACTTTGGCAATAATAATTATTAATAATTATTATTATTATTATCCAACTACTACTTAACGTTACGAGCGGCGCTGTTAAATAATGAACGAAATAAAATGAGGAAGAATTTTATGGGAAATTATTTGGGAGAGAAAAGTAAATTATTTTTCAAATGTTTTAAGGTAAATTGAGAAAAACATTTTGCATATAAATTTAAAGTAAATTAATTTTCAAAGATTTTCATATTAAATGAAAGTAAATTATTTTTCAAATGAAACAAAAGTATAATATTAATAAATTAGATTTCAAATGTTTTCGTATAAAATTAAAACGCAATGATGTGATAGATAGATATGATGATAGCTAACCAATGCACGTGAACCGTTTTTAAATTATAAAAGGCAGCACAACATTGTTCTGATAATGATGATGATGATGATGATGATGATGATGATGAGGGTGTTGATGATGATGAGGGTGTTGATGATGATGTAGAAGATGGCAAGTAGTAAATAAATAATGAATAAAAAACAACAAATTGTTCATTGAATTAAAGTGTATTTATTTAATAATTAATTTAATACAACCTCAACTGAAGTTATTCTTATTAATAATTAAATTAGAGTGAAAGAAATGCAAAATAATCGAATAGCCTTGCCTAATCACTCTTTAGTACATTTGAAATTAAACTGCTAAAAAATGTTTTAAAATTAGTTGGGCGCACTGGTGCGTGTGGTGTGCATTAACATCATCATCACCACCATCATCACCATTATCACCTCCATCATCATCATTGTCATCATCACCGTCATCATCACCATCAGCATCATTGCCATCATCATCAGCATCATCGTGAGCATCACTAGGTTATCGTCAACATCATCATTATTGTTGCATTTGTCATTAAGCTCATCAACAGCGCAATAATGTTTTTTTAACACATCGTTCTTTCTGGCACATTCATGTCATTTTCATCATGCTCTTTATTCAACCAATAATATTGAAATGATGGTGATGAACATCATTATTATCATTTATTATATTAAGCTTCAATATAACCAACATATACAGTTTTTTTTCCAAAACATTATCGTAATTATAACCATCTTGCTAACTAACTTATCCATCATAATTGTGATCCTCTTCTTACTATCCATTCACGTTCATAATTATCACAAGATATTTGGCTGCCGGGTCACGTTGCGCCTTATACAAACTTATTACTACACGTTCTCATTATTTTTAAAATTATCTTATTTCAATTTTCATTAACATAATAACCATTTAGGCTTTTAACTTTGTATTGAATAATTAAATGAACAAATGTATAATTATTTGATTTCTTAATTATGTTTATGTATATGTATTCTATGTATTGATTTAATTAGTTTGAACAATTATTGTAAACTTGTTTACAGTTCAAAATTTAATTAAGCTTTTTGTTTAGTTTGTTATATATATATATATATATATATATATATATATATATATATATATATATATATATATATTGCTATATCCGCCGGAATGGCGGAATTACGCTATATAATTAATTATTGTTATCTAGTTAAAATTGTTATCTATCTTCGCTCTTGTCACCGATTGTAGACCATGGAATCTTTTCATACCATGGAGGATTGTATTAATCTGTAGAGGCAATGTAAGGTGTTTGCAAATAGCGAAGTTTTTAGCGAAGTTGTAAAGTTGTAATTGTGATTTATGTGGTTGCTCGAATTAGTTTAGTGTTCT